ACGTTTTCACATGTGACTTTTGTAAAATATATTTTTCCTACTATGATATATATATATATATATATATATATATATATTGAGAGAGAGAGAGAGAGAGAGAGAGAGAGAGAGATTGATAATATTAGTGGTCGATATATATATATATATATATATACATACATACATACATACATAATTTATTTATTTAAAAATATGATTCCTTCGCTACATAAGAGTTCTCATGTTTCAAAACAAGAGCCGAAAACTTCAATATAATTATTTGAATTAAATTGTATTAAAGTAGCAAGCTCTGTTCCATCTTCAAGCGAATTTTTGGGAATAACTAATTCTTGAAATTTACGCTTTTTTATAAGCATGTTCATTATTAAAATTACTATGGTAACGGCTAGAGCAATTATTTTAAAAAAAGGGGCGTAAGGGTTAATAATTTGTATCAATATCTCAGTTACATTCAAAGAGGTCAAGTCAGGGTAAGGTTGGGGTGTCTAAATTCAAAGCGGAAGATGACATCGTCTATTCTGGTTAAGTGTCTATGGAGATTTATTTATTTATTTATTTTATTTTCTTTCCTGAAAGGGTCTTGTGTATATAAAACTGTGATAATTACCTAACGAGTTTTTTCCTATTTTCTATATATTTTCACACACACACACACACACACACACACACACACACACACACACACACACACACACACACACACACATATATATATATATATAAAAAAGGCTCAAACACAAATATTCCATGGTTATAATTTATTACATTGGAATCGTAATCACGATCCAATTCATCAGACTTTTTTGAATTTGTAGGTCTGATGAATGAGTGAGTGAGAGAGAGATTAAGAGAGTGAAAGAAAGAAAGACAGAGTGATATGTTGGGTGTAATTATTGACTGATTCGGTCTTTGCTCCCGCTTTTTTTAATGGTGGCAGTGTTCATGGTGTCAAGATTTTAGTCTATTTGATACTTAGATTAAATTCGGGAGTAAATGAGTTGTTTTATGAGTTAAATCCTGAGCTAAAGATTCTTTGTCCATAGTTCAAATCCTGGTTCTGCCCACCAAGTGTCTTGTGTTTCTGTTGCAATGTAACAACATTTGGTAGATTTTTTATTAGACCATATATTAACAATATTCCAATTGTTTATTCGGGACACGAAAAGTAATTCAGATTTGAACGCTTGACAAGCAAATTCATAGATTTAGGACAGAGACAAGAAATAAAATTTTTATGAACATTAAATCAATTTAAAACATATTTAAAAAGTAATTGAAAAGAAATGAGATTATGTATTAATTCAGTTGTTAACTGGATTATAATATTTTGACATTTGTTACGCTTAATTTAAAAGAAAATTCAGTAAGACTTAATTATTTGCGACATTAAATATTTGTTTTAAGGTAAGACTATTTTAAAAGAAAATCTAGATAGTAATAGATATTTACTAATTTTAACATATTTTTTGCACAAGGCCTGAAATAGAGAGCTTTCGATTGAACTCACCACACCTTAATGACTATCTGCGGACGCATTTAAAAGCAAATATGCAGTTTGGTATGGTTTGATTAATACTTGTTACCCAGCCACTTGAAGAGACCTACCGGTTGAAACCACGGTAGTTTGCGGTAATATACGGGATTTTTACCTCTTTTTAATATATATATATATATATATATATATATATATATATATATATATATATATATATATACTGGCTCTCCTGTCGAATTCGACGTACAAGGGTCAAGCGGAACAGTTCATAGGAAACTGATACCTGCACATGAGATTAGATTATAGTGGTGAATGTTTGAATGTTTTGTGCTGGACCACCCACACTTTTTGAAGGGTTGAATACAGAGCCTACATGCCACAGGGTCCCCAAACGAACCTCTGCAGGTTTTGAATTCAGAGTTGTCCCTGTCCTAGACCAGTTGCCATCCAAGGCTATAGAACCCAGTCTGTCCTGCTGTTTACCCATAGCTGGAGGGAGAAGAGGATTCACACACACACACACACACACACACACACACACACACACACACACACATATATATATATATATATATATATATATATATATAAGTAAATGATACTTATCGAAGTTTGACTCAACGTTTTGCGATGTTTCGTCATTTTAGATTCCGATAAGATTATCTGGATTCTGAAGAACGAAACATCACGAAACTTTGAGTGGATCTTTGTTAAGTGTCTTGAGCTTTTAATATTTTTGATACGATAATTACTGCTGCAGATATCCATTGAGCACTTTATTGAACAAGGCCAACTTGTTAGCAAATATTCCCTGATGATATATGCGACTAGATATTAATAAAATAATGCTTTAAAATATTCATCCTACGCCCAATAAAAAAGGAATGTGACACAAGGCTAGAATTAAAGAGAGATTACTTTAGTACGTGGGAATAGAAAGAAAACTGCAAAACTCTATCAAGGATTAAAGCTAAGGCACTCTCGAAAGGGAGATAATGCTTATGGGGGAGTGTCCTTTGAAAATAGATTTGAGCCTCTTCCAAAAGCCCGCCAGGCGTAGTTTATCCATATGCGCAAGACCAACTTTAAGTTGGGGATTCGACATAAGACCAGTGTCCAAAAAGAGCCCAGTCCCCTATGCACTGCCCAATTCGGGTACGCTTGAGGCCCAAAGCAATTACCCTAAACCCCTCGTGATGGAAAGGTATTGCCTGGGGAGACAGGATCCCTGAAGCTGAACTTCGATTGAATTTATGTTTCGCACGACCAAAAAGGCCAAAAAGCAACGTCCTGCAATTTAAAGACATTCTATTCAGTCGATGCCTTAAGTACCCAGAAATAAATGATATACGAAAAACAAGAAAATGAGTCCCAATTTAAATACAAATCTCTCTGATATTGAGCACTTTATCCCATAAATATAGCACACCTTAAAACTATATATATATATATATATATATATATATATATATATATATATATATATATATATATATATATATATTATTATTATTATTATTATATATATAAAAAAGAAAGAAAGAAAGAGAGAGATATGTGGATTGTAAGTATTGACTGATTCGGTCTTTGCTTCCGTTTTTTAAGGGTGTCAGGAATATATATATATATATATATATATATATATATATATATATATATATATATATATATATATATATAGGCCGATTGACATTAATTTCATTGTTTTAAAATAAAAGGTATGTCTACTGAAATACATGTACCCACTCAACATAAAGTTTATACAAAAGACATTATATAAAATATTACAGTAAGGAATAACGTAAAATTAGAAAAAATTAATGTATTCTTTTACGCTTTGTGTACAATGACAACGTTAGATATAGAGTTCGAAAGTCACAATGAAGACTGTACATCTCTTAAGTGGACTAACTGAGTCTTGCTTAGGCATGTCGGCTTCCCGTGATCTAATTCGTAAAGCTCACTTAGCTTAAAAGAGATTTCCTCAGATGCAGTGTGGTGTGGTTTGATTAACACTTGTTACACAGCCACCTGAGGACACTTAGCGGTTAAAACTATGGTAGTTTGCGGTAGTATACAGTATTTTTACCTCTTTTTACCTTTTTATTATATATATATATATATATATATATCGTTTACAAGGCACATTATTTTAAATAGGAAATCCCGATTTCTTATCATTGTTTTAACAACAGGCGTAGATGTCTGCACAAACATGTGTACTAAATAAAATGTTTTTTCTTCTATGTGCCAGGTCACTTCCAAACTTAAGATTTATAGTAATAATAAATATACACAAACCCCCTCACACGCATGTATATATATATATATATATATATATATATATATATATATATAGAGAGAGAGAGAGAGAGAGAGTATATATATATATATATATATATATATAGAGAGAGAGAGAGAGAGAGAGAGAGAAAGATGTGCCTCCTTATTGACATAGCAGTCCCTGCAGGCTGCATTGTATATTTGAATATCTTCAAAAAGCTATCAAAATACAAGGACCTCGAAATCGAAATCTCAAAAATGTGGCATATGAGGACATCACCAATTCCAGATTTAGTTGGAGCCAATACATTCATTAAAGGGATTTTTGGCAGCTCATGCCTTAAAGAGATAAAAAAAAATGTTCTCACAAGTAGAGCCCACATCTTACGAAGGGCTTTATCTATGTAAAATATGTGTGATTTTTTTTCAACATTGGTCAGTGAAAATGTTATGATGTCATTTCTGTCCTTAGGTCTCTGGTCGGGATCCGGAAAAAATGAATATATACCAGAAATCAAAGGAAATAATAATAATAATAATAATAATAATAATAATAATAATAAATTTAATCAACTTGACTGGAATTCGAACTCGACTCTTTGATTTCTCATATAGAGCTGTTGTCCGTCAAACCACCCGCACATCCAAACATTCCTATTCCTTTATCTCCTTAATAATGTTTTTCTTTCTCTCATATTTTTTCACGCTTGTGTATTAATGGTTTTATTGCCTTGCTTGGAGTGAAATGATTATAAAGAGAAATAAACAGAGAGAAAAGAATATGCAGCAGACATCACTCACCGTAGCTACTACGGGTTAGCGCGAATCATGCTGTGTACAAGGCTGCCCTCAATTACTAGAGAAGAGTTCTGGAGAAAAATAAAATGAATTAGGTTCAGTCAATTCAATTGAAAATTTGAAGATTTGGTTTCCATGAGTTCTGGAGAATCATAACTGAAGGCCAATCATCTGTGCAGGCTGTTATTAATGGCCCCCATCGTTGTTTTATCTTCATCGGACAAGGTAAAGCTCTTTGAAATTACCTTTCCTTTTAAAATTCAAACTAGACTACCGAGACCATACTCTACTTGACGTTCCTCTTATCAAGAGCCACAAACTTTGCGATGCCACTATCTTGGTTCGGAAACTTGTCAAAATCTTGGATTATACGAAGTTTGGTGGCCAAGACAAAATTCTTTTTACAGTAGCGTTTCAACGTGATATGACCTGTAAACCCATCAGTGTATATAAGGAAGACTAAATTCAAGAACTGTCTGTAAATGCGTTAACATTGGGTATTCATTTTGGTATTCTCTTTATATTTATATATATATATATATACACATACTGAATGCATATTTTTTTCTACAATTTAACCTATTTATTTATCTACTTTTTTATATCGAAACAGTAGGGAATGTGTTCTTCGTAGTTGGCCTTTCTTCGCCTTATAATCACCAATTCTTCCTCCCCAATTTCCGGAGTTACTCGGGTATCAGGGGCTTTACCTAAAAACATTCAGAGTATTTTAAAACTGAAAAGCCTGTAAACATCTTTCTTTCTTTCTTTCTTTCTTTTTCTTTCTTTCTTTAATATCCCATCGCACGTTTTATTTCTTTAATATCCCATCTCACACTCTTTCTTTCTTTCTTTCTTTCTTTCTTTATTTAATATCCCATCACACGCTTACTTTAATATCCCATCTCACACTTTTTCTTTCTTTCTTTCTTAGATATGTTTATATTTCGTAATTCATCCCTTACTTTCAAACAAAAGCTGGCATTATCTGTGCAGTTTAGTGCCTAGTAGCGAAAGGATTTAAACGATGTATTAAAGCTTGAAAAAGTCTTGCAAATCAAAACAGAAATGATTCTCTCAGGAGTTAATTTATTGATTAATTCAGAGAATTTTCTCCCCATTTAACAAACTTAAGTTTGTTAAATGTGGAGAAAAATAAAAATGTTATTTCTTAAACAATACTTCAACTCTCGTTTGGTCATTCAAAGGTCAGTCCTTTTTTATTGATGTATTTTTTCATTAATCCTAATCCGAATTTAAATCTATAAGTCTTACACTATAGAAATCACATTGAATAAATAGCGTTAGCTTTTCTACATAAATTACCATCAAAATCATTTCCATGGTTTTAGAACATTATATATATATACACACATGAATACAAATTTAGTTTAGATGGAATAAACTTCCAGTAACCAAAAACACTATTAAAAAGTGCTCAATACAGCAAATAATATTTATTTAAAAATTATAGCATAAATATGTTATAACATCACTGCAAAAATAGCCATTTTCTTTCAATACTTCCCGTGTCTTGTTAAGGGATCACTTGACAAGACACCGGAAGTGTTGAAACAAAATGGCTATTTTTGTAGTGTTGTTATAACATATTTATGTTATAATTTTGTAAATAAATTATATATATATATATATATATATATATATATATGTGTGTGTGTGTGTGTGTGTGTGTGTATATGTGTGTGTGTGTGTGTGTGTGTGTGTAATATTAAAAAGTTATAAAATACATATAAACACCCACGCACACAGGTAGACACACACATTTGTACAAACACACAAAGGAAAAATCGACTTAACGCGAATAAATAGCGCATAAATTATTTTATTATAATTATTATAAAAATAACGAAAATGAAAAAAATGACAGTCAATTGCTGAAATCTCCTGACGAGTGGACAGAACGATAACAAAATGTTTCGTCTACGATACACTGGAGTTGAGGTGCTGAATATATCATCAATCAGCTAAGTGATACATTTTTATTTGTATTAATCATAGATAGATAGATAGATAGATAGATAGATAGATAAGTGAATTTAAAGACATTACAATCCTTGTTGCTCGGCCACTCAATGTCAATTCAATCCGTGCTTTCTTCTATATTATTGTTTATTTTCCTTTATTTTCTTTATTTCTTTCTCGTAATCGAAAACAAAACATGTCAGTTTTAACAATCCCAATAAATAATCGCTTCCAATGCCATCCTTCCGATATCAATTTCTATCAAAGTGTTTTCAAGTTCAAAGGTCTAAAATATTCTTTTTTCTTGGGACGCTTATTATTTCATAATTCAGCTCTTAAGGTTAGAAAAATGATGTGTAAATTTAGTACGCCCTGGCAAAAGGTTAGACAAATGATGTGTAAATGTATTTCTCCCTCCCAAACAAATTTTATAATGCTGAAAAAGGTGTTGTCAGTTGGAGTATAAGAAATGATTCTCTCAGGAGTTAATTTATTGATTAATTCAAAGACTTTTCTCTTCGTATAACCAAAAGTTGTATATAAGGGAAAGGTTCATTGTTTTAACAATGAACCTTTAACCCTTGTTGGGTCGTTCAATATCCTAGTCACTCTCTTTTTTTTCCCCTCTATTTATTTCGTTTAATTTTTTCTTTCCAGAAGTAGATTTTATTAAGTTTTTCATAGCATAAATCGTAGTGAATAAAAAGTATTAATGTTAGCCTTTCTGCATAAATTACCATCAAGAACATTTCGATAATGTTTTTATATTGTATATATACATACACACACGCGCGTGCACACACACACACACACACACACACACACACACACACACACACACACACACACACACACACACACACACACACATATGTAAATTTTTTGCGCGGCCGCGTTCCCAACAGCCGTTACATATGACGTCACACTAGACCAATTCACACGTCCAAGCTTCCCAAAGATTATCAGGATGCAAAGGAATTCTAACTACGACACAGACACCACATCGGTTCTTGATAATGACTGAGCAAGTCAAAAGTACTCGAACTAAAAAAACAAAATATGAACTCCAGAGAGTTTATCCACAACTTCGAACACAAGACTCAGAACCTAAAATTTGAAAAATACAATATAAAGTTAAACGGACAGACCTTGTCGGTTTAAAAAGAATCGACAAGGTCTGTCTGTTTAAAGTTGTTCGGATATATATATATCTACATACATATATATACACACATATATGTATGTATGTATGTATGTATGTATATACATATATATATATATATATATATATATATATATATATATATATGTGTGTGTGTGTGTGTGTGTTTTTGTGTGTGCATGTATCTGTGTAAATATTCTCAGATGGAGTGCGTCTGCAGAAGAGACAAAATGAATAAAAACGAGACACAAGAAAAAATTATACTTAGCCGACGTGTTTCGTCCACTGAGGGACTTTATCAAGGCAATGTAGAATTTATTATGCTGCACGTGTTTATATATAGAGAGGCGAGGATGTCATTAGTTTATCAAGGCTTGGAAATTTGAGAATATTCACGGATGTTCATCAGGTGGTTGAAAGGTCAGTCAATGCAATATTCATTTAAAAATAAAAATAAAAAAAACATTATTGAATATTACTCACTCACTTTGCTTTTTACCAGAATTATGACACTTTGTGTCTTCCATATGTTTTGACTAATCTTGCAATCACCTTAGGAACATTTATGAACGTTCTCAAATTTCCAAGCCTTGATAAACCATCCTCGTCTTTGTATATAAACACGTGCAACAAAATAAATCCTACATTACCTTAATAAAGTCCATCAGAGGACGAAACGCGTCGGCAAAGTATAATTTTTTCCTCTTGTCTCTTATATATATATATATATATATATATATATATATATATATATAGTAATGATCCCCAAGCAACAAAATTCCTAGTCGGATACTCATAATAAGGAAAAAAAATGAGTATCCTGTTCTAGGAGCAGTAAGTGTTTGTACCCTTGAAAGTAATGACAAAATTCATATCTATACTAATGAATATATATCTATATTATATCTACTTTATATATATAAAATATACCGTATTTAGTGGCCTATAAGACGCACCCTGATAGGGTGTTATACTGTATCTATTAATTTTAAAGTTACCTGTATTGTTAAACTATATAGTTATCTGTAGATTCCAAACCTGGGCTTAATCATGTCGTCAGGATTTGGAGAGTAATAAAAAGGAATAAACTGCGTCTTATAAGCCGCAAAATACGACATATATAAAATCTAAAGTGAATGTGTGAATGCGAAAATATATCAAAATATTTTGCAATTTTTGAAGTGATTATGCAATCGAAAAAATAAAATACCTAAGTATTATACACTGACGGTATTATATAAAGGTTAAAACAGCTACCAATTATATACCGCCGTTCGTGTAAAAAAAAAAATAAAAAATTAAGTGAAAAAAATTATTTATTCCTCTACACCGTCTAATGTCGTGAGAAAAAATGGATGTGGTTTGATGAACAAAATAATATAGTTTTGTTATTGTTAGTCTATTGTTATTGAACAGTTATTGTTGTCGTTTGGCTAATTTTTCCCCACCACGAGCGGGATTCCGAGACGTTATTACGCATGCGCCGGAAAAACTTCCTGCGACTACAGTTGTCACTGATGTACAGCTGTTCATATGTCCGTTACTGGTTGTGTACATATATTTATAATTGAATAAATAAAATATATAAACATTTAATATTATCACTATTATATCTTACGCCAAAGATTCTTTTTTCCTATGTTACAAAAAGTGTATGGGATTCATAAATATATTTATAAATGATGTTTCATGTTCTAGAATGCCTACCAATAAATTTATAATCTGTTTTAATCATTGTTTCATGTGTTTTTATTCATTGTTTATATATATATATATATATATATATATATATATATATATATATATATATATATATATATATATATATATATATGTATGTATATATATATACAAAGTATGTGTTTTGACGGCAAGCGAAACATGGACATTCTATAAACATCCCATAAAACTTCTTGAGGGCTTCCATCAACGGTGTCTGAGACAGATACTTCATATCACATGGCAGTCCCATGTCTCAGATACAGAAGTATTAGAGAAAGCAGGGCTACCAAGCATTCAGTCGATGGTAATGAAAAATTGTCTCCGATGGGTCGGTCACATTGCACGTATGGATGACAGTCGTCTACCAAAACGGCTGTTCTATGGTGAAATGTGGGAAGGAAAGAGAAATGCATCAAAGTCGAAGAAGAGATTTAAGGACACAATAAAATCTTATCTGAAACAATCTGGACTATCGGTAGACCAATGGGAAAAAATGGCTTTGGATAGAAGTGGCGGAAACTAATTCACGAAGGCATTGAGTCCTTTGAGAATAGCCATATGCAGTACAGTGCCTACAAACGACTGATTCGTAAAGGCAAACAGGGTCCAGCATCGGATCCACAAATTCACCACGTTAATTGTGACATATGCAGAAAATTGTGCCTATCTTTTGCCGGCTTCAAAAGCCATTTGCGTAAATGTGCAAAATCTAGTGTGCACCCAAATAATGTCACTGTAAACAAAACTGATTGGGTATGCCAATTCTGTGACAAAATTTGTCGCAGTTTGGCTGGCCTGAAGAGTCACCTGCGAATACAGAGAATTTGAGGGGAGTGGGGGTGAGGACATGAAATAAAGGAGGTGGTCACACTCGAAACCGAGAGGATAGCCATTATATATACAGCATAATTGAAATGTAACTCCCCATTTTAAAATACTTATAATTTATTTATTAACTATAATTCTGACAAGAACTGGATATGAGAGGAAAGCGTTTAGTATGAGGTTTTAGTGAAAATTTGATATGGCCACCAGATTTCGCTACCAGCTTCACGAGCCGCTCTGGAAACGCGTCAACTGAT